CAGACATCTGTCTTCGTGTGTCTCTCTTCCCATGGTCTTCCCTCTGAGTCTGTGTCTGAATTTCCCCTTCTTAGAAGGACACCAGTTATATTAGGTTAGGGCTCACCTTTTCTGGTAGGACCTCATCTTAACTAGTGACAAATACCTGCAATGACCCTACTTCCAAATCAAGTCACCTTCTGGGGGACAGGGATTAATCCTTCAATTCATCTTTTGGGTGGAGGGGGGACATAATTCAACCATAAGAAGAATATCTAAACCTAGAAAACATCAGAAATCAAACACTGTAGTCTAATTCACGAGCCCAGATTGGTTTCAGAATCCATCTCTACACCCTGCCCTGGATAGCCACGCGCCATCATCAGAGTTGGCAAGAGAGAGGAGGCTTGAAAAACTCCAGTCTTTGGTACTGAGTAGAAGGAAGAGAGATGATCAGCTGACATTCTATAATTACAATAAGCTGCGTTTAAAACACATAAAAATAGATAAAAATAATTCACAGAGAAAAATGGCAAAACTTACTTTCTCTAAAAACCAAATGGAGTTAAATATCACTTTCACCTTAATTATATTCTTTAATAATTACATTTGTTTATTATTCACTTTGCCTTGGGCGGCGATGCTAACTTTTGTTAGTCTGTGTAGCAGTTTCTCATGAAACCATTTTTTCACCAAAGCTTAAGGAGAAAGACACATTTACCGTGATTTAATATTCTATTTTTTTCCTCAAAATGGAAATAGCATGTTGTCAGGACCCCTCCTCCTTTCATTCAGACTTTCGGTTTTATTTTAGGACGTTTTTAATACAATGTACGAAGCAAAGATTTTAAAGTCAAAGCCCTGACCTGGGAGTCTGTATCTGAGCCCTGGCTTTCCTGCGGGTCATCGTGTATTTCCCCTCTCTGAGCACGCTCCGGGTGCCCCGTCAATCAATATTCATTCATTCATTCATTCATTCATTCATTCATTCATTCATCCATTCATTCATTCATTCCCTCTTTCACTAAACAAGATGTGCAAACCAAGATATGCAGGACTCAGGAGGAAATAGGAGTGAGGCACTCCACACTCACTGCTGGGGAAACCTGGGGACCAGTGCAGGCTGCAGAGGGGAAACTGAAGAGCTCATGACCCCATTGAAGATGGCAACTGCCAATCAGCCACACACAGCTGCCTTCTGAGAATCCTGGGGATTTTTTTTTTTTTAAGATTTCATTTATTTATTTGTGTGAGAGAGAGCATGAGCAGGAAGGAGGGGCAGAGGGAGAGGGAGAAGCAGACTCCTCCCCGCTGAGCAGGGAGCCCAATGCGGGGCTCAATCCTGGGACCCTGGGATTGTGACCTGAGCCAAAGGCAGACGCTTAACTGACTGAGCCACCCAGGCACCCCAAATCCTGGGGATTTTTAAAAAAAGAACCAGAGATGCAGTATTTTGGTGTGAAGTTTCCCAATTTCTAAACTTTGGCAACCAATTAAAATATTTTTAAACCCTGAAGTTCAAACAAAACACACCTACAGGCTGGATTCCGTCTATAGGCTGCCACGTTTAACCTCTGTTCAAAACCAAGAAACAAGTATTGATCGTGGGAACAGCATACACCCCTTCTTCCATCAGTAGTGATCACAGAGGGCAGACCGAATTTCTCACCTGCTCTGAATCATCCCTGGAAGACTTTATGGGCATCGTGTTGGTGAATCACTCTGGTTTCCCCTTACCTCACTGGCCGGTCCTGCTCTGTCTTCCTTCCTGAGTCCTCCTTCTTCTGACCTCTAAATGCTGGCATCATTCCAGGCTTGGTCTTTGAACAGCTCTGTGTTTCCTCACATCCACAGTGACCACCTTACCCTTGTAACTCACCAAGTGTGATCTTGCCTCAGAACCTTTGTACTTTCTGGCCCATATTCCACAGAACTGGACTCCCTAGATGACCTCATCCAACCCAATGGGGATACACATCTTTTGTATGCTGAACATTTCTTCATTTCTATCTCTGGCCCTGATTTCTCCACTAAGCTCTAGACTCATGTATTCGATCGCCCCCTCCCTGACATTTTTACCTGGATATTTAAGTGACCTCTCCCACTCAGTATGTCTATTAATAAGTTTTTGGTTTCCCCTTCAACCTACTGTTCCCATTGTCCCTATTCTCAGATGGTGCTGTTTATTCACCTGATCAAATAAAACATCTTGAAACCCAGCTTCAGTCTTCTCTTCCTATTACCACCATAGCCAGTCCATCATAAGCCCAGCTTTCACTGCCTTCAGAAGATATCCTAAATTCGAGCACTTTCCAGCACTCTTGTCATGACCGAGCTGGCCCAAACCACCACATGTCTCGTATGCACTTTTGTTAACAGCCTATATAATAGCTCTGGCTTTCGCCACTCCCTCCTTGAGCTGAGTGACCTGTAGGTCACGTCACTCTCTCCCCCAAACCTTCCAGTAGCTGTCTGTTCCATTTCCTACATCACAGCCCTTCAGGCCCCCTATGCCCTGGTTCCCTGCTGCACTCTGGCCCCGTAAGTCGACCACGCTTCTCCTCACCCCTGAGCTCCTAGCACACTGGCCTCTTTGTCCCTCAGGGCCCTCTGCATTGGCTGCTCTCTCTACTTGGAATGCTCTTCCCCCGTGTAGCTGCAAGCCTCAGGTCTTGACTTGGGTCTGGGCTGAGACAGATGGCACACATCTATCCACAAAGCCAGCTCAGAAATTATCCTTAAGGAGTGTGATCTATCTCTGTGTCTCCTCTGGGTCTGTCTCCACCATGACAAGGTGAGGCTGTAAGGTGGGGATCCCACTGCTGTATCCTTGTATCCAGCACTTGTGGGTGCCCCATCACATTTGCAAGTGCATAAATGTATCCTTAAGTCTTACACTTCTAAATGCCCCTGCTCTGACAAAATTCAAGTCACTTTCCTGGCTACCTACTGCTTAATACTTTCCGTCAATCTACAGACAGATAAAACCTCAAAGCTAAAGGCTTTGTACAAATAAGCTCTTTGCTTTACAACCTGAAAGGTGTTTCTGGGTCATGCTCACGTTTCTGGCTGCCCTGATAGACAGATCACATGGAGACTTGCTCACAAGTGGCAGCTACGAGTTACTAAAATTCACGGATTGGCTCATTTTGCCACTGTGGGCAACTCAGCAGTTCCCAAAAGCCTGGATAGAGACTTAGGCTGGTACTGGGCAATATTTCCACTACTCTGCTATAAAATAAGGACACTGAAATACTTTTGTTTCAGTTTTGTTTCATTTTTATTGGGATAAGAACATGTGACACCAGATTGCCCTCTTAACAAATGTTGAAAGGCATGACACGGTGTTGTTAACTAGAGACACCCTGTTGTCCTGCACCGCTCTAGAATTTATTCATCTTGAACAACGGAAACTGTATAAAATACATTTTGCAGGAAAATATTGGGATAGCAGAATTCTGAAGGGAAATTCTTTCAATGCAAAACTTTTTTTCTTTTATTCAGAGATTGTTTCTTCTTTTTTTTTTTTT